TAATTTAATTTCATATTCAGCACATAAGTTAGAAGCACATGTAGCTACCAACACAAAGCAAGTGAAAATCAATCCACCAAGATTAAATGAGAAGCTAAATGGCATAAGCCACATTATAGGTGAGCAAGTGCCACATAATAGTGATAGTACTCAATATGTTGCAGCACATCAAACTATGGTAAGACTAGTATTCATGATTGAAAGATTAAAAACATGCAAGGTCTATGTACATACAAGCCACTCACGGTCATGGATCTAATGGTGATTACTAAAAGACACAAGGAAGGGACACAAGGCTTCCATTGATTTGTGTCATCCGAGAGGGCAAGAAAATATAGAAAAGCATGAGAAGCTGAAACACTATCTGTGTATAACAGTGAGAAACTGAAAAAGAACCATGGCTCTTCTTGGTCAAAAAAAAAAGGCAAGGCAATCTCAGATCAGAGAAGATTGTAGAAAAGAAACATGCTCTCGCCAACAATAAGAAACTCAGAGGGGCTGCAATTGACAGGAGAGATCTTCTGCACAAGGGAAGTAGAAGATGTATCAGCTACGATGTAATTTACAAGGGAACAAGTTTGTAACAACAAAATCTGAAAAAAAAAAAAAACCGAAAGTAGTAGTCAATTTAGAAGGAAGAAGATGGTTGAGATGCGCAATTGTGAATGAAACTAGTGATGTACTCAACAATTTTACACAGAACACGTATTTTCAACAACCTTCATGGCAAAGGAAAAATTGTCAAAGAACAATATGACCTTCGGCCGGTCTTCCAAATATAAAACAACCTTTTAATTATCCTAGAATGATATAACCTTTGGGGGTATCTGAAAATAGACTAAAAACCAGAAACCTGGCTTTATAGGTTCATCCGGACACGTGTCGCATTTTGATTGGTAAAGATTGATATGTCTATTTTATATAGTGATTTACCCCCGTCCCTTGGTCATATTTAGGAGTATTTTTGGCTTTTATAGAGCTATTTTTATTACTAATAAGCGTTTTCTAGTGTTTCGTAGCTTTGGTATTATTTTCTAAGAAACTGCGGATGTGAAGGCATTTCCCGAAATTATTGAGCCACTACGAGCATTGGATATGGAGCGCACTCGTATGTCCACTTTTCGTAGCCCAGGTTCGTGTAAGAGTAATCGAGCCCGGTGATTAAGGGCTCGACGAGGAAGAAGAACCGAGGCATTGGACCGGAATTATAAAAAGCCAAGGAAGAGGTTCGAACTTGGGCCAAGCTAAGAGCCCGAGTTGAAGAGTTCAGCCTTTTTCCTGGAGACTCACCCGACCCGGCGAGAGGAAGAGAAAGATTGTTGCCCCGAGGCTCGCCCGACCGAGTGAGGGAGAACAAGGGGGCATCCGGTGTCGGGCGCGTGTTTCTTCAAAAGATTAGAGGCTGATTTATCTTTGTTTCAGTTAGGAAATTCTTGCTTAGTATAAATACTCTTTTTATAGCAAGATTAGGACGCATTCATTAGTTAAATTCCAGATTTTTGGTTTTAAGATTTTCTGGCAATTTGTTCTCTCAAGATTCTTTGGTATATGTAATTCATATTTTCCTTTATTTTGGTAACGATTTTCTTCCCTTTTACTTCTAGTAATTTCATTGCTTTGAATAATTATGTCTTTTTTAATTGCTTTGATTAGTTTAGATTTAATTATGCGTGAGTAGTTTATTTCTAGGGTTTTTGGGGATCCGTAAATAATATGAAGGGATGATTTATTATTGTTGATTGTTAATATTTTAGATTAATTTCCTATTGATTGATTTAATGCTATGCAATTAGATTTGGCCAGGTTTAATTGTATGAGTTATGCAATATTGATTCGAGATTCAATAGATGAGAATTAATGTTTAGGCTTCGTTTCAATAGACAAGTTAATTTATAAATAGTCAAGTCACGATTCGAGAGATACGATTTAATATCGCTAAGTTAATTGTGTGATTGTAATACGTAGCGAAAGCCCTTTATAATCTGGTTAATCTATGCATTGATGATTGGTTTTTGTCCTTCATCCCGAAATATTATTTATTGGTGAACCTATGCCCCATGCTTTAGTTTATTGATATTCTCTTAATTTTAATTGCTTTAGTTTAAATATTTCCCTTAGTTTAATTCATATAAAATCACACTGGTTACTTGGTAATATAAATTATAACTTGGTAATATAAATTATATTAATTTATTAGGAATAAAGAACGTTGTTTCCCTGTGTATTCGACCCTACTTCCCTATCTGCTTTAATTAGAGGACATAGGAATTACTTTTGATTAAGTGATACGACTTTATCCTGTCAAAGATTTTTATTTTACATTTTTATATCACTTTTAAAAAACTGATTTTTCTATTTTTTTTTTTTTTAAAAATTATTTAAGAAAAAAATCCCTTCTCTCCCCGACAACCAACTCCACCTGACCCCTACCCCTTAGTCACGCAATATAACCACCACATCCCCACCACCATTTTCTGTCATTCCTCCATCCTTACCACCACCACGAAGTCATCGAATGCGATTAAATGAATAAGGTGTTACCTGCAATTGCAAGGGGCAGAGAGACTAGCTTCGCAAGGTTGAATGAGAAGAGAGAAAATGGGTGGGATTTTGGTTTGGCAGCGGCGGAGAACATGGGGCGGTGGAAGAGGAGGGGGGGAATGACCTTCCCGCAGCGAAAAAAGCCATGGTTAGTGGAGGCATAGGGTTTTGGGCTCGTGAAGGGGTGGGTGTGGAGTTTTCGGTTTGGTGGCGGCTAGGGTGGTGGTTTCGGGGCTGCTGGAGGGTGGGGCTGGTGGAGAGTTGGGAGTTGGGGTTTCAGGCTAGTGGAGGGGTAGGTGAGGGTTTCGGGCAGGTGGGGGGTGGGGGGGGGATTGCGGGTTGATGGTGGCAGGCAAGCAGTGGCCGGTGACATATGGGGAGTTGATAGGATGGGTGTTTAGTTGGTTTTTTTTTTTCTTTATCAAATTTTACAAAATAAAAATTCGTAAATATTATTAAAAAAAGTTTCTAGTAATCACAATGCAGCACGTGTCACAATTAACCTATTATACAGATTACCATCAAGTCACATTTTATTTAAAGCGGATACCCCTCAAAGGTCGTATTATTTTGGGATAATCAAAAGGTCATTTTATTTTCAGAAGATTGGACAAAGATCATGTTATTACCAACAGTTTTCCCACGGCAAATTGGCAATGGCCTATATAAGCTCTATTAACAAAGTACAATTTATGTAAAGTGTTTATAGCTTTTTCTTTTAAAGTCAAATCACAAGTCAAACATATCACTCAATCTCATTTTGTTCTTGTAGCTGAGCCAACAAAGAATGCAGTGGACCCACCCCCTGTGTTCCATTCTAACTGCATATTATCAATATGAGACGGCCTGCTATTTTATTAGATTTTCCAGAATCTGTATCCACTAGTTGTTTCGCCCGCTCTTCCCTTCACAAGCATGATTTCTAGGCTACAGCAATGTTGTTTGGGCAGAATGTGCTAAAAATATCAAGTTACTCGTATGTTTTATTTGACGAACCCTACCAAATGAAGCAATTTCACTTAACAAGAATGCAACAGATTACCAATTAGCTCACCAGCTAGAAAAAATTAAAACTCATGTCTCCACATTAATTTGGATATATCACACTCTAGAATCCAGCTTTTCACGGTACTGTGCGGGCCCCACCTACTAAAGTCTTGAGTTTTCTCAATGGTAGATGGAAAAAATTTATATCCTTGTTCGCCCAAATTCTACAGCTTAATTAGCAGCCAATAAGCTAAAGTCTATAGATAATACATAAAGTAAAACTGGTCTGATAATTAGTACAATCCTTGTTTCCACTCAATCAAGTTGTTTTCATCTAAGAATTCTAGGATTGTTGTCATCTTCAGATATTGGACCACATAGATCTTCGACTCAATCATTCAAGCATGTTCAGCATTCCCATTATTAAAATAAGATATATCAACCATTCTGAAGGCTGACATTCAAGATATCTAACAACCACAGAAAAAAGGGTAACTTCTAAATCTTTTTCAATTTTTTTGCTACGCTAAATTGATTGTCTTCTTCTGCTAATTAAAGATGCCTCACCACATGCATACCAAGGAATGTTCACCGGCTCAATAAAAAATACGTAGTAACAAACATAAATAGAAGATACTCAAGCCACATACAGTTGTGACTTTTTAAATTTCGACATTTCAGGCATCTCAATAGGCTCCAGTCAGCAACAACATCACCCAACAAAACAGCAGAAGATCTCTGATCTTTGTTTATTTTCTCCTTCCTATCCTACTATCTTACTCCCTAACATGTCCAACTTCTCTTCCAAAATTCCATGGAAGTTCCCATACGTATACCAAGCAATACCCATGATCATAAGAAAAGGCTACTCAAGACATAAAGACTTCTGTCAGCTAAATGCTAATTATTCTTTAAAGTAATAGAAGTCACAACCATTACCCACGATATGCATTTTCTTCCATCTCACCAGGGAATACCAATGGAGTCTCTTTGCAAATCATAAAGTCACAATGTTGTACCTATATCAGATCAATTACTTTCGTTGATTGATCCAGTACATATCAAATGAACTTCTTCATTTGACCATAGATCTCTATTTAGAACTTCAACTATACTTTTGGAAGCTTGTAACAGATACCTTTAAAATCACTTTCAAAAAACACTAGTACCAGCACTCGCCTAATTCAAGGTAATAAATATACACTTGCACACATATAAACATTTAGCAGCTGGGACGCCTGGGACAATCAAACAGAACATCTCAAACAAATCATAAGGTAAGTCTTCTTCCCCCCTCCACAACTACATAACTTCCCTACCCACACCACAGAAAATAAAAAGAAAAGAAGGATAAGTCACAACATCTTCAAAGAGTTTATCTTCAGTTTAAACAGTAAAGATCACCATCCAAAGCATTTCAAAGAACAAAAGTTACAAGGGAAGAAAGAAAGTTGGTATGTGCATTCACTTACAGCTCCTATTCTCCCTTCCAATCTATCAGCTCACTGCGAGGAACATATAGCTTAGCAGCCTGCTGCTCAGCTTCAATATCATTAACTACTCCTCGACATCTTTCAGCACCACAATAACATTTAAGTTGCTCATCAATAGAAAAGAACCTGTATCATAAAAACTCAAGCTTACAGGCCGCCAAATAAACAGGATGAATAGCAAAGAAACGAACTCCCAAGTCAAACCTGTAGTCATAAGTCAGTTCCTCCCATTGTTCAATATCTCTTTTCGCAAAAATTATTATATGTTCGTCACCACTAACAGTTATAACTCGGGAGTAACAATTGGGCTGCAAAAAATAAAGCACAATTACAAATCTCAAACAGTCTTGGCATTACTGGATCCAAACAAAAAGGCAATATCACCATGCTTACAGAACAAACACATAACCCTTTACAAAGTTCAAAACCTCAAAACACATTTATCAAGAATTTGTTAATAAGCCTCCCATTTTCCAAGGCCCGTTTTATTATAATTCTTAAACCAGCTTTTGTAAACATGCCAATTGATTGAATGCCTAAAGTAACAATTAATGTATTCGCAGATCATCTCACATAAAACAGAAAGGTGGATAACTGAGCAATTAGTGACATTTTCAATAATAAATATAATGGATAAAATCTTTCAAACTTATGAATGATGCAACACAAATAGCAATTGAGCAAGTTGCAAATTAGACTTATAAAACACTTCCAGTCCATCGCCATTGGTGTTTTATGTGATAATTTTGAAAATTATAAGATACAAAGCAAAGAGCACCAAGAAGAAATAAGAAAATTCCCATGAGCTGGACGGCATTGCATAGAAGAAAGGACAAAATAATTACTTCACAAGAATGGTTTATTAAATGAGCAATACTTCCAGCGCGCGTAGCATCAATGACACGCTCATCATCAATCCTGAACATATAAGTTCCAGCACCCTGCAAAGAAAATCAGTCAAACTGAACGCTAATCTCACACTAATTTAACAATTGAAAATGGCTATAAAGGCACAAAGCTCAAGAAAACTAGTTACAAATAATAGATTAAGACAATAGAAACTCGAAAGAGAAGAGGGAATAATAACTCAGAATCATAGCTAACTCCCCACACAAATGGCAACATGTGGCCATGATAGCGTCAATCTTGTTTCCAAGATGATCAGCATCATACAAACAAATAATTGCCGATTTGAATTAAATCTAAGCGCACAAGTAAAAAGAATCAATTTGACTTACAACTAATGAATTATATATTAAGTGTTCTCTTCGATCAGCCACTGGAGGCCTTACAAGTTCACCGGTATATTCAATCACCTGAATCAAACAGCACAAGTGACTTAATTATCCAGCTAAACTTTTATAAAAGTGAAGAGGCTACAACAAATGTGTGTGTAATTACCATGTCTCCAGCTTTATGTGGCTGCTTTGCAAAGATCCCAAATCCATGTATTCTAGATTTTCCTACAGAAAAATACTAGCAATCAATACAAAAACAAATACAGTTCAACACTACATATTCTCAATTAAAAAAAAATACTGTCAGTGTCCTAACACAAACTACACAAATCCAACCTTTATAAACTAGCACACAAATTAAAACCTCAAGAATTTCAAATCACAAAGACCAGGTAGTCTTGATATAAATCGCAAAGAAAAATGAAGAAAAACAAATTAAGGTAAAAAGTCAAGGAAAATTTATTCAAAAGCTTGTTCAAACAGATTAACATAAAAATTGTATTTCGAAATAGTAAGCTCACGCACTTTAGTATTCTAACATCATATACATGCTTAGCGCTGAATATCAACGAGGCATCAGAGACCTTCACATGAGCATGAAGCCATAAAAAAGTTTGGCCCAAACAAACATACCAATTTTACAGCAATACCATATACCAAGAGCTACTCTAGTACATAAAATAACTACACACGCTGATTAGATGAATTATTTCTCCATTTTCCTGGTTGTACTCATTAACTTGGCACATTTGTCTATGCACAACTTTGACCATTACGAATGTTTATATTATATCTATAAATAGATGATATATTAAGTTGATAGACTGAAAATCCATATTATGACAAATCTAACAAGATCCCTTTCCCTTATTGATAATCAAATATGGTCAAAATGAGGATATGAATAATGAATTAAAGCAATATGGATAAATAGAAAATATTGACAGTACAATTTAAGCATTAAATAAGTGTAGGCCAAATGTCCAACCTCGCCAAACTAACACAACCTAAGATAACCTAACCCAAATCGAAATTATACTTGAAACTAGATTACCCTACTTTCACTTGGCCTGAACCAAACAAACCCAAACCTAAAATCATATTAATTAATTTTTTGTGATAAACCAAATGAAAAGACCAAAATATGTGGCTATAGTAATAGTGATCTTGATGTATTCACGTCAATGAGTGTCAATCACTTTTCACGCTTGCTGATGTATTATTTCAATCGTTAATATCTTTAATTACCAATATGTAAATATTATAAACATTGGATATTAATATAGTATAAATCGAAACGAATCTAATAAGATCCCACATGAATATATTTTTACTTAGATATAAATCATCAAAGCTAATCAAAGTGAAGCAAGTGAATAGTGTAAAGATCAAAGTGTTGCAAGTATAAAAAAAAAATGGAGGAAGTATTATCTTTGCCAAAAAAGTATAACTAATAGGTAGAACAAGCTGACGTACAAGGAAAAGCAGCTACTACAAATTAATCCAATTCCTAGGTTCGAAACTTGTGGCAAGCTTCTTTGATGCCCTATATTTTATCTTTCAAACCCTTGGATATTTGGACTGGAAAACTTATACCACCTCCTCTAAGATAAAAATCCAAGTTCTACCGCTGGCTACATAAATTTTCCTTACCAGAAATCATTAAAATGAGATACCTAGAACTTTTCAGAATACAACATTATAAGAAATGCAGATTTTTCGCAGTGAATGAGCATGGTATCAACACATCGATGAAGTTTACTAAGTGACTCGTGAAACATTTAAACTTACCAAACGCTAATCGTTTCCTAGAAGTCTCCCTCATGTATCTATATTTATCAGCCATCGAAAGTATGCTAGGCAGAGCTTCCTGATTTGAAGATACATTTTGAATCCCTGAAGTTGACTTAGAGCCATTATCCACATTGTCCTCCATTGCCATGCGAGCCAAAATCTCATGTACGTAGTAACAACCAACCAGGTGCGGCATATTAAGCAAAAATGAACGTTTTGCAGCAAGGATTTCCGGTTCTTTACGTCCTCTTCGGGCAGAATAATCATAAGGCTCTGTTCATGATTGCAAAAGAAAATCAAAGTGCAATTGATGAAAACAACCTTAACATAGAAACAAAAACTTAAATAACCCAATACATGAGCGCCACAAAAAAGATATGATGTTGAGCAACACGCCAACACATTAAAACATATTAGAAAGGTCCAAAAAATTGCAACAAATTTGACTTATACAATTGTCTAAACTCTAACTCTCTAAGGTAATGTGATGTGTAATTTAATGGGCTCTTCAGAAAATTTCAAGAAATTCGAGGATATGAAGCTATTTAATCTAACCAAGACTAAATAACGACTGAGTTGGTAGCTTTCTCAGCAAATATCATATGCAATTCTCTTGCTAAAACAATTCATACGAATTGATCAAATATAACTCAAAACTTCTCGAACTTCATTAATGAAAATAAAGACTACTTATTGGCAAAAATCCCATGTTGTTAGGATAACCAAAAGATAAAATAAAAAATAAATAAAATATAAATACTCCCAAATAGCAAAATATATATCTTCTAATAATATTAGAAAATAATATCTTATCAATATTACTAATTTTACTACAACCCTAATTCGATTAATCATGCATAACTCTTGGATTGACGCCACTCAACCTCATGATTAATAGAAGACTCAACAAAAATAAATAAATAAATAAATATAATAAAATGATGATATTGATGCCTTGGAATTGCATCATACTGCGACAGAGAGCATACATGTCATTGATACTATTGTATTTTGTCTATAAAGATCTCTCAAAAGAAAGGTCAGAAATGAAGAACTCCCATTTATCCAAGACTTAAGTACGGCGTAAAAACAAAAAAAGTTGACTTCAGAATTCTGAATAGTAACTGTCAAAAAAAATCATAATTTCCAGATACCAGATATGCAGTAACCTACCACAGCGCGCACAGCCAGATTCATTAGATGGGGGGATGTAGCTCAATTGCTGGCAAGACTTCTTCCCATTTGCCTCATCCACGATTGGACGGTCATTAGATGGCTGCTTATGTCTTTTGCAGAAGGAAAATAGGCGAATACACTGTTCCTCCTCATCTTCATCTACAGAAATGAGATGAAGTTTGTCTTCATCTTCAAGCTAAGCAAAATGATACCCAACAGAAGTTGCAAAAGTAAAATTACATGAGCTTTATTTCTGATGTTAAAAAGAATTAGAAAGCATTCCAGAAGAGGCTTCTAATAGCATCCTCACAAAGCAACCACTAAAACTAACAAAGTAAGATATACCTCAGCACAATAGCCAGAAACACGTGCACAGAGTGGATGATATGCAACACGGCAGGTGTTGTTAGAGCACTGAAATCAAATGGCCAAAATTTCGTAAATTTCATAGTAAGAAAAAATGACAGATGTCCTCCAAATAAGAGTCAATATTAGGCCCATAAGCAAAATGCAATATTAAGTCAATTGGCAGAGATAAGAATTGGGACACAAAGGAAAAAAACAACAAGAATGACAAAAATGGTAGCCCATAGCTTGTTTTTCTTGCCCGTGCTTTAAAAAGAGAAATAAGGATACACTTTGAAGTACAACTACAAAAACAGAGAACAAGATGCCTTCTCTAAAGTAATCAAACAGTCACAAAATTTCTCCTTTTGCTAAAATTTTAAAAATTTGACACTCATAGAATACAGGTGAGACGTCAGAAACGTGTAGAGCAGAAATCACCTGTGAATGTTACTGTCATACCATAATTAAGCTAAAAAATGTTCCATATTGTAGCCTTTTATTTATCTGTTACACTGCACATACATTATTTCCCTACTACATGTATAATGATGGAGCAATCCCATAATTCACAACATTAACCTCATTCAAAGAGCTTAATCAGAGTTGTTCAGCAAAAATCAGAAGCAAAATTGTCTCATCCCGGTTAAACCCTATTAGGTGGACACTCTGGAACAGTCATACAAAAAATTGGGTATTTCACCATTCCTTACATTATATTTCAAACATGGAGACAGGCAATGAACATCCCCCCCCCCCATCCCCCTTCCTCTCAATATTTATTCTGTCACCTGACGTATGTTACCCTGCTTCGACACAAGTTAGGATTCATACCCAGGTTGGCATGACCCAACACCTATCCAAGTATGGAATCCATACCAGATCCAAAAGATCAGTCAGACACGGTATGACAAAATAAAGGGAGATTGCAAGAGGAAGGACTCAATTCAAGTATTTCGATTTAGTTTATTAGCCCTAGGTCTGTATATTTTGGGGGGTAAAATCCAAAAAAACCAATGTGATTTTTTACAATACTAGGGGTTCCAATGCGCATGGTAAAATCTAAACAGACCAATGTGATTTTTTACAATACTAGGGGTTCCAACGCGCACGATGAGCGCGATACAGCTAGATCTTTTAGAAGAGTTTTCGTAGTTGGCGTTATGTTTAATGGCCCTTTGCATGGTATTTTGTTGTAACTATTTATATAGCCAGATTGTAATGGTGATTCTTGTTTGCTATGCATTGCTCATTGTACACATACCACAATTGATGAATAGGAAATTTTACTAACATTTGCGTTTTATATAGTACTCATACCACTATTGAGTGCTTGTACCTATATACCATAAACTACTCAAAACAACATTTAAAAGGTGAGAAATACCAAAGGTAAAAATGAAACTTCCTTGGAAGATATATGGAATACATCAAGCCACAAACACAAATTAAATACACAACTGATCCTACTCAAAACTATCTCTATCACTTTCCCTAAGGTGATATTTTGAGACTTTAAGTATACAACCATTCTTCCAATCACCAAATGATGTCTAAGGCAAACTCAAGCCAAACAATTGTCAATCCCTCATAATTTGTATTGTTGTCCAACCTTTTTGCTATGTCCTGGCAGATGGGATATATTGAACAAAGCTAGAAAAAAAATTACCATATATTAGTATATAAGAAAATTGTGCTCAAGCTCAACTTTACCTGATATCTAACCTTAAATCTCTTACCATTTCATGAAACGTTGGTGGCTACTTATCTTTCAGTAAGCTAACATTAGGATATAGTTTCCTTTTCTTTGCAAACAATCTATTGTTTTGATATTGGCCTGTCTCTTCCCATCTCCCTGAAATTTAAATTAATCTTGGTGGAGAGTTTATGAGGGCACTCAAAAGACACTTCAAGAATTTTGTCAGTGATATCGCGTGTGATTCTTGGTCATCTGGCTTACTAATACTGATGATATGGAAGAATTGGAGGGTATAAGGGAGAGGAATTGGAGTAAAAAGGGGAAATGGGCACTTACAGAGAAACAAAGAGGTAGTGACGACGCATTGCATAAATCACTTCATCACACTGATATACAGGACTAAAGGAGATAGCCAATAGGGAAAATAGGGTGTTTGAGTGGTTAAGATCCATTGAACATTCCTTACGCATTGCATAAATCTCATCATCACAATGATTTCCAGTAATCATCTTTTTCATGTTGTTAGGGATTGTTGACGATGCCCCAACCCCACTACTCACCTTCACAGCCCCCTCGCCCAAACCCTAAAAATAAAATCCCAATTAATTTCAACAAAGAACAACAATGACGCTTCTCCATTCAAAATTAACGCTTTTGTATAAATCAGGAAAAATTAAAACAATAAGAGGGAGAAAAGCTACCTGGAAAGGCTGCAGGCTGTTATAGAAACCATAATTTTTACCTCCGACTCATCAAAAAAACCCCATAATTTACCCCAACTTAATTGTAGATTTACAGAAACAAAAATCTAGGCTAGAAAGTGACCATATAGAAGGAGAAGATGAATTAGATGATGAAAGATGAGAGGGTGTGCCATGGAGGAATTGGAGAAAGAGAAAACGAATGGAAGAAATGTGATTGAGACTTGAGACAAGATGAACCAGACAGAGCTCAACAGAAGAGAGAGGGGAAAGGTTTCAAAATTTTAATGGGGGCAAATAAGTAAAATAACATTTTAGAAGTATAATTGGAAACACACTATTCATAAGAGTATAGTTATACTTTTTATAAAGGGATAAATTACACCAATGGTCTTCCCTTGAGTCATGACGCTTGGTGAACCATAGGAACTGACATGCTTATTGCAAACTCCACAATAAGTCTGTTCAACTTTCTCTTTCTAGTAGAATAGAGATAAAGTCTGTGAAAGTGGAAAGACTAGAAACCCAAATGAAACTTTTACTGTTATAATTTTTTCTCCTGTTTTCATACTATTTAGTATTTACACCTGCACTCTCCCTTTCTTTTCTTATTTAAATAAACTCTTCAAGTCATTGGTAACCTTATCCAAGAGAAAAAGTCTCATGTAGTCATGAAAATTGCTTTTGAATTTCTTATACTTTTTTATTTTGACTCTGGAAAACAAACAAAATAAACTAACTACTCCCTCTGTTTTTTTTAATATGTGCTTCATAGTGACATGAACCACATGCCAATGCAATAATTTGACCAACAATATCTTTAAAAATCAATAACTATAGATTATAACAATTGAATATTAATATATCTTTAATTATCAATAACTATAGATTATAACAATTGAATATTAATAATCTACTCATTAAGACAATTCCAACAAGTAACTATAAGACTATTTTTTCTTATGTATACTTCACAAACATTGGTCAAAGTACGTCTAATAAATAGTGCCAAAACTCCCAATGGGGCACTTTAAAAAACAGAGGGAGTACAAATCATCCTCAAAAGTAAACGCAAGACGGATTGCTAGCTGAGCCCGGTTATGAGCATCTGCCACCAATTCCCTATCAACCTTGCGAATAGTACAACAGTCAAAAAGCTTTCCTTTGTTGTAAATTTCCTGAATCGTCCACCTATTTCTTTTACAGTTCAACAGCACTTTATTTTTATATTTTTAAAACAATCACCATATCTCTATGCCTGTGTCTTAGATTAGGGCATGCCGACAGGGTCTCCATAAAGTAAAATTCTAGCTTTGTTGGTCCGACACTATGATATATACTCTTGTCCTAACACCCATACCCATGTTTGAGTAACATAGCACTGAACTGAGCCATTATTCCTATCTCTCCCACTCGTTCTTCTACTACTAATTAGTAGTTTTCACCAATCCATAAGAAAATCAAATGACAGATAAGTGATCACTACCCTGTTAGCATAATGGCTTCCTAGGGGAAGTCAGTCAGCACTCCACATATCCAATTAATGCAGGATCCACACTAGATAATAGCTGTAGCTGATACTTTACCAGAATATTACCCGTACTTGTTTTGAAGGTTGCGCGAAAAAATATAAGTTTCCAAGGTCAAAATCAGAAAGAATAAAAAAACCAAAACACACCTATTGATTCCTTACAGACGCATAACAACTTAACACATTAGCCTGCTGTCTTGAAGCTGCCTCAATTCCCACATTCTCAAATAGTGTATTTTTTTCCAAAAAAAAAAATAAAAGGAATACTCCTTCCATCTCAATTTACTTGCCTATAGCCATTTGCAGAGGAGTTCATTCAGGTGAGAAAAAAAGAGGAAAACAAATAGCTTGAGTGCGGAACCTAACCCAAGAGAAAAAGTAGAGAAAAATTTTCTAAAAAGGAAATGGGGCAAGCAAATTGCGATTGCCCAAAATGGACAAGTAATAAGGGAGTAATAAAATATAATCCCAACTCCTTTTCAGCATCATAAAATATATTCTACTCATTACTTAGAAATGTTAAAAAAGTTTATGATCAATAATATTTGAAAAATACAGCATAAACCCGCTTTTACCTGGATGCAAGCTCCATAAGGGATATGACAAATACTACAAATGAGCTTCCAGCGGTCCTAAAAGGAAAAGGCCTCAAAGAAAGTTAGCAGTAGAAAAGCATTATTGCATCCATGCATGGGCATCCATACTATAAAGCAAATACGTAACACTAACTACCTTATTAATCCTGCTGACGCCATCGATGGGCTCCATCTTCTTGATATCAGATAAGCACGTTTCTGTAAGGTTATAATATGGTCAAATAGGAGGAAAAAAAATGCAGAAAGAGCAAGACACATATGCACAAACGAACCAGGAATCCAGATAGCACAAGCTAGATGAGCCCAATGACCATCAGTTGTAGGCTTCATAGCTCCACCTATATAGGGTATCAATTACGAAATTAATATGTGACAGTCATGTGTTTATTTAACCATCTTCAATGCAGCTATATGTACCTACAACAGGGCAGAGACGACAAGGTGGAGTAGATTCAGGTGCACCAACTCGACACAGATTACACAACCAAAGTCTACCATCAACAGACTCCTCCCCGTAGCACCTGGCATGAACCTGAGAAAGAAGCATGCTATCATAAACTTTCAATTCAAAAGAATTTCCATGACAACTAGAGACGTTCAGGCCTCAAGGTATGCTTGGAATGAGGAATAATTGATATAACAAATTTGGGGGTATATCATGTAGCTTTTTGGGATTGGAATTAATATAAAAATTCTGTAAGGGTAATACATACCCCCGTAACAGGGGACCTATACCCCAACACCCCCCCCCACCCTTCAAACATAAAAATTTCTACCTCCCATATCCCATCTCAATCATCTCCACTATGCTCCTATCAACACCACCCTCAACCTCGATCCCCATGAGTCAAACAACCTTCTAAATCTAACTAAATATTCCAGGCAGACCGTTAAACGGAACAAGCAAATGGACATATGCTAATGACTATGTGCAAATTACATGCATATTAGTAGTATCAGGCCAGAAATAAAGATGGTCAAAGGGATAAGCGATAATCTAATGGATGCTCACCATCATTCTGCATTTATCACACTGCAGGAACAAGTTGTTCTCGTACTCCTATATAGAATAGAACATCATATTACCACATTGCGATAGATAATAAAGTCGGAAGGATAGATTAAGAATTTACTGATTTAGTTCCTCACCTCATCCATGTGGCACACATTGCATCTATCAAGATCTTTCCAATTGATACGAATAGGCCAATAACCACTGGGCATGTTCTGGAATCTTTCAGGCAATAGTTTACGTGAAGGGAGTTTAATTGGCCCTTTTGAAAATGAAAAAACCTGCCAATACCATATATTAATCTTAAGCCATTCAAATGTTGCATTCAAATATTAAAGAAGACAAAACCAAAAAAAAAACATTTAAATACAACTGATTTCTTCAAAAACTTTTAAACAAAAACCATAAAAGATAAGTGTGACGCAAGATATTCACATATTGTTTTGCTGTGTACAACTTCTGCAGAGTGTAATTTTAATACTATATCACCTAAACTATACGATACTGTTCATCATCAAAAATGTTAAGATTAACATTTCCACATTTCAAAAGCTTTGAATAAGAAATAAACCAACTGACATGATGCTAAGTAAACCGACAGAATTAATTTATAAGGATCAGTAGTTACCTCATCCTTCATTGAAGCTTCATCTGAATCAACAGTTTGAACATCCATGGATACACGTTGCATGTTCAACATGCTTTTAGGAAGTTTCTGCACATTCAAGTACCTGATAGAACAGTATGTCTGCAAGCTTAGTATGATTACTAAATGTCTCATTAACTAGGACCAAAAGACTACATAAGTAAACTAACTAATGATAAGAAGCAAAAGGATCATCAGTAGACAAGGAGATCTTAAGTATCGGTACTTTGGTGCTATGAGAAGATCTAAACAAGACAGAGGGAACAATCACAAGCCAGTATATTTCAGCATAAAATTTAGGTTTAGTCTAAGACAGAAAATTTATTTAGCTAAATCATACGTGAGCTACACCTCAAAAGAGGAAATTCAAAAAATATATATATATAATAAAATACAAGTGAACAACATTAACTCACACAACAAGAGTAACTCCATATAATCAGGCAGTATCCGAAAAGATATGATTTACAGAATTTGAAACGTAACACATAGTACCAAACAGGTTTCCCACTTCATACCATCTAAAATTGCAGTCAAAACGTAAGTATTACCCCTAATAGAATCAAGAAAATCAATGAGTAAGCTAGATAAAGATGCAGAATACAGAGAGAACTGCAACATTATACAGCCCAAGAAGGCTTCCAAATAATGATACAGGAAACAAAAATGCGATCATTTATTTTTTTTTTAAGAAAAAAATTACATTGAAGGTTTTCCATATGATTCAGATGCAGCACAACAAAAGGTCTAATATTAGAACATGGAAATTTGGCATGAAGAATAGGCAAGCAGCAAGGTAATGATATTGCATTACTTTTAAGGAATACATCCACTCCCTGCAAGAGATAGTAAGCAATGATGCAAATGTCTTCCTTCTACACTAGAACTTTTAAAATGCTTCTAAACTCAATAGAGGGTTTCCAATTGAATAGACAAGGCAATAGAGTGGAAAAGATGCTCCCGATATCTTAACACAGGACCAGTTTTCTTCTACAGTCATTTCCTAGTAGGCCTACAAATGGATATCATGCAATTTGGCATCTCATTATATGTGAATCTCCAATAACAGTAAGGAAAATATATGTAATTACAGCTGAATATTTAATTATCATAAAAGAAGATTTCTCATCATAGGTGATTCTCCAGACTAGGAAAATTTGGAAAAACGTAAGTCTATATCTAAGAGAGTGAACAACAAATAGATAAACAGGAGTATAATTAACATAAAGGCACACCCACGAGAATAGGATAGCTAAGTGAACCAACAGATGCAGGCAAACAAAATAAATAAATAAATAAATAAAGCAACTATTGCAAAAAATTTTGACATCAAAAGTGACCAAATAACCAAAGGTTAAAACACAGAATGGAGAATATGAAATTTCAAATCAACTAACTAAATCTTAAGACTACGAGAATCTACCAGAAACAACCTATGCTAAGAGACACAGACAGCTTCGCAGCACAACAAACACAGTCCAAGCAGATGAATGCCATATCCACAGATACATTAATCCCATAATGTATAAACTTGGTTAAAATATAACAATTGTGGAAATTAAAACTTCTAAAAATAAAGCCACCAAATGAGATCATGAAGCAGAATTAAACATTTTACAAAACTACTCGAGAGAAAACAAAATTATTATAGCTAGAGAAACTGAAGGTTTGTTTTCCCCAGGGCTCACCCCACCCATCATCCACCTTACCCAGGAACGAACAAAATAGGCTTTGCAAACCTACAAAAGTAATAATTATATATGCCAGAAACACAAATCCCACTCCAAATAAATTAATAGGATTGAAAAAGAAAGGAATGATACATAAACTTCCATATAGAATGTATACATTTAAATTACATTGACTTATTACTCAAATTGCAGGAAGGTCCCTTAATACTTTCTAAATCAATAAAACGCACCTCACCAAAAAAAACGAAAAAAAAAAAACAATACACTGCAGATCCAAGGGATACACAAAGATAGAGTTGTACCCCTATAAATTTTCAGAAAGAACAATCATATGATTTTAATCTGTAGTCATTTTTCTTATCTTTAAGTTTCCATGCTGGTAAGAGAATCGAACTTCAATGCATGAGCTCTGTGACAGCATGCAAGGTTTGTTGCTCCAACCTTTTTAGCTCCATTTTCACTATTCTCTGCCAGATTGCCCCTTATAATTAGAAACCCACTACTTTGTAAATACTACGTGTATTATATAATATCTCTAGAATCTCTGGTGGGAAATTTCTAGCAGCGTTTTACTACTTTACCTCATTTCCATCTTTCAGTGTGGTACTTTTAGTCAAACCTTTTCTTTTTGTAGATTTTTTTTTTCCTTCACATACACTATTTCAGTTTCCCAATTGACTTAGTTTTAGAAAAAAAAACATTTCATTAAAATATTTAGATGTTTAATCCTATAAAGACTCATTACAACTTTAAATTAATTTTGGGGTTTAAGTTATTCTAGCACTTTCTAAAAAAAAATGGTGTAGAGTGAGTCATTAGTTCATTACACAGAAATGGGATTTAGTCACAAGTCTTGGGTAGCATCCTCCAAAATATTAACCAATTGACCAAGTTGACATACATTTTTAAGTTATGTACATTTAATTTTAAATTATCAAATATACATTTTCTAGCTATACACAGAAAAGAGATAAATTGTTACCTTAATAGTTCTAGTCACTCATTTATTGCAAAGCCAGACATATTTTATATGGTAAATTAACCAAACCATTTTAATTAGCTTATATAAATCAACAGTTACCAATTGATTTTGGTGCATCCAACACCGTAGACGTTGGCAAGAAATGTATTTTAAAACCAACTCTCTTTTTCTTTTGGACAAATTTTTCTTGTCATGTATTTTTTTTTTTTGTTTAGACAAATTTATCTCGTCATGTATTTATTTTAAAACCAATTGTTTCTGAATTTCAGGATTTACCACCAATACACCAAGTAATCAAGCTACAATACAGATAGGCATAACGTAGTCGTACATAAATTATGCAACAACCTAATACATTTGTATCAAAAAAAAAATCAGGCCATGTTAGCAAGACATAGTCAGTTAATGAGGATGAACTATGTTGCTAAGAAAAAATATTGTCTCTAAAGGTACAGAAACAGATAGAGAGAAGAAGAGAATTTAATCACTACCTTTGAAATAAGAGAGAGAGAGAGAGAGAGAACTGGCAAAAACTTACGATTTTGCTTCTTTCAAGCTTCGAAGAAAGCGTGTGGACTTGCACTTCAAATGAAAACAAGAAAGCAGTCCTTTTACAAAGGATACTATCTGTTTCACCTGTATTCTGATTGTCAACAAGAAATTCTTAGGAACATATTAACTCAGTAACAACAAAAAATTCCTGCAAACTATATTCTACTTCCTCTGTGTAAAAAAATTGCAACACTTTGCCCAAAAAGCTCTCACATAATTAGTCAAAGTGTTACAATTTTTTAGAAACGGAGGAAGTAATCATTAGAAAAAGAGCAAAAGCCAACCTTGCAAAATCATGAGTTCCAAAGAATTGCACAGGAATTGATCTTTTTCCAGAGCTGTTGTTCAATCCTTTGCGGTCACGAACAAGTGATTCATCACTAATGACAGCAGGCCACATTGCATGACCTGAAAGAAGATAAATTAGCACAAGATAGTCTGCAAAAATTGAATAACAAGAATGCATATTTGCACATGAAGGGTCAGCAGCAGCTGTTGTTTATTATTTCACGTAACGCTGTGCAAACTTGTGTTTTTTATAATACTGTAAGCATAAAACTGTATACACGAGATGATTTACAACTACATAATACAAAATGGTGACAGTGCAATTCAAATGCAAGCTTCTTCTCTTTAACTTCAACACAAGGTACTACCTTTTAGTCATTGAAAATAGATCCATCAAAGATACGAAGTCCAGAAGGACATAACATAAGTCAATACAGCTCCTTATTTTTCAATTAGCTCATACCATTTCATATAAATCTTAGTAGCTTACTCACCTGTAAGTTTTGCCCAAATTATATCCCCGGGCTCAAGGTCTCGACTCTCATCCACACTAGCAGCCAAACCCATCAACTGACTGTAATCAGGATCATCGTCAGCCGTATATTCTTTCCCTTTAAGGTTTTTGTTCTGCATTTCCTCTCTTGACATATAAAATTTTATCTGTTCTTGTGATAAAATCAGCTCTTCTTCATCACCGTCCTCATACTTAATCTGCAATTAAATTTGTATACATGCATTACAGAAATCTCCAACCAATATGAAAAACACCTCGACCAAAAGTAAACAAATAATAGTGAAAAGAACATACATTGTGCTTTTTCGATACCGCATCATAGCCAGATACAGACCCTTTATACCATACATCATCCAATGGCCAATAAACCTACATTGAGCACAAAATTAAGATTCTTTTCCATTTTCATTCAACCCTACTGATTCATCAAATCACACAAGGAATAAAATAATCAACTTGCCTGGCATTTCAAGCCAATAAATACCATAGGATCAACACCATCAAAAGTTAACCTGGCGCATAATACAGTTCATATCAAACTAAAGTAAAAATCCTCATAAACATAAACAAACACATAAATAGATTATGATCTCAAAAGCCTCAAATTAGAGAAGAAACAACATACAGGAACCATTTTTTCGCCCGAGAATCATTGTTATTCTTTTGATTAGCCGAAGAATTTTGCTTCCCTTTCTTTACAGCAGATTTATTAGAATTTACATTGTACTGAAACCGCGATTCCCTTAATCTGGGGCCATTCAACCTACACAAAACACTCGAATCCACCCCTAATTTCACAAGCTCCGAATTCCCGAGTCGCCTTTTCTTATTCGGAAACCCCACAAACACATCCCCAACAAAACCCTCATCCTCAACCGGCTCCTCTTTCACCACAATTCCCTCCCCCTCACCGTCCAATTTCTCCACCTTCGAATCACAAAGCCGCAACGACGAATTCTTCTTTCCCCGGCGAGAATAAACACGGATCACCTGCGACGAATCCGATAACAATTCTCCCTTAACTTCCTTACTAACCCCTTCCTTCATCCCCTCCTTCTCCTCCCCTTCCTCTAACTGATGACAAATATGATCGCCCAAGCAGTCGTCAATTAGGGTTAGCTTTCGAGCTCGAACCTTCTTCGAAACAACATTGGAAGAACCACTAGCACTAACACAAGGCGAAGTAGCGGAGTAAACATGGCGAAGAGGAAGAAACCTGATTGGAGTTCCGGCATAATGATTATCGATATCTTCAGCACACCCCAATTTCTGCGAATCTGGTAACTGTTCCTGCTGCTGCTGCTGCTGCTGCTGTTGTTCGTGATTTTGTTCATGGCAATTTTCCTGCATCAAGGTTTGCGACGCAGGAAACGCCATTGAAGAAGAAGAGGAGAGAGAAAAGGAGGATGAAATAGTGAGTGAGAATGTTAATTTAGGGTTTGAAATTGGGGATTTGGGGGTGTTTTGGAGGGATGAAGATTTGAGATTTTCGGCCAAAAAACTTCCGTTTTCCCGCCGTTTGGAGAGCGTGCGACTGAGTGAGTGAAGATGTTAAGAGAGAGAAAAAGAGGGGGTTTTGATGTTGGAGATTTTGCGGATTCTAATTTATACCCATCTAGTTACATGTGTGTCATTGTTTTTTTTTTTTTTGTTAACAAAATGGATTTGGAATTTTGACATTGCTACCACTGAAATGACCTCTTCTTTCATATTTGGTACCTGTTTAAATTTTTATTTTATTTTACTATCACCCAAATCCCAAAATTATAGATATCACTACTTGTTGCCTTATGTCGTTATTGTTTCCATTAGTGGAGCTCAACCACCGTCCAGTCACCCTTACTGCCATCATACAGCCACTCCTCCCTCCTCAACCACCGTCACTACTAGCCCCTCTCCTCGTTCTAGCGCCAAACCCATTCGTTAAAACCACCCTAAATGGGTTTTAGGGTTTTGTTTTCACCCGTTTAGGGTGGTTTCGGGGTAGTGTGGGCGGGGGAAATAAAGGAGGTGGGGTCGCCGGCATCGGGGGAATGTTTAGGCGTCGGCACGGGCGACGGAAGCCGGTACAGGGAGGGGGAGGGTGGCTGACGGGGAGGGGGAGGTGGCTGGGAAATAATTTATTTATTTTTTTAGTAATAATGGGCCCCACTTAACGGAACCCTAACGAATTCTGTTAAGTGGTGGCAATAACTATAATTTTGGGATTTGGGTGGTAGTAAAATAAAATAAAAATTTAAACATGTAGCAAATGTGAAAGAGGGTCATTTTAGAGGTAGCAAATGTCAAAATTTTCCTATGGATTATTTGTTTTTAGATTTATCTCAACGGTTTGACTTTTACATTATTTATCTATATTATAAATACATCAAAATTTAGTAAAAAAAAAAAGTAAGTTCTGTAAAAATAAGTTAGTTCAATAAAAAGCAATAAATTTTAAGAAAAAATATAATAGAAATTCAATAAAAAGAATTTTAGTTCAGCAAAATTAATTTCAGTTTAACAAAATTATTTCAATTCAACAAAAATAAGGTGAAATAAACGGGTTCAAGTACTTAAAATTTTTGAAAAATATTAATTCGTACTATGGTATAATACATGTTAATGCACTTGTTTGACTTTAAATATATATAATTAATATTGTTTTTGTATAAAAAAAATTTAGTTATTAATAAAATATAAGAAAAAAATAAAAAATTATATTATGAAACTTTATATTAATACCTATTTGACAACATATTTCGTGATAGAATTTTATTTTAATATGGGTCAATCATGTCTGGAACGGATGAGTAAGTTTATTTACTGAAATACTAGAGAAATTATTGATATTGTTGGTATTTATTCGTAGGAGTGAGCACAAATCGGATATTCGATATTTGGGATATCCTATATCCGAATTCGATTTGAAAATTGTTTGATTATGATATTTAAAAATTTTCAACCGAATATATCGGATATTCGATATCCAAAATATTAGAGTGATTTCCCAAAATAATATAATAAAATAAACTAATTCCTTATATACATTGGTTTAAAAACTATCTCTCACAGTACCGTCCGCGCAGGCTCGATTTTAAGGTTCGATTTTTACAAGTATAAAACCACTAACATTGTTGGCGGTTTTAACTAATATAGAACCTCTGATGATATTAGCGGTTCTTTAATTTAAGTAAAATCTCTAATACCATTAGCGGTTCCATATTATAATCTAGCCAAAACGAAAGCTAAAGTAAATGAAGTAGCTTCAACTATATAGAACCTCTAATACTATTAGCGGTTCTATGCATATTAGCGTATTTATATATAGAACCGCCAACATTATTAGTGGTCTTATCCTGTCAAATTCCAAATCTAGGAATCGATCCTATACATGGATGGTATTGTGGGAAATAATTTTTAAATCGACTTATATGGGGAATTAATTTTTATTTTATCATTATTCAAGGAAATTCTTTGGGAAACAAACCCAATGTTTATATCGACTTATATGGGGAATTAATTTGTATTTTTATAATTTTTATATAAAAATTTTTGTAAGAAAATGAAAAACAAACCCAATGTTTTGGGGATTTTAGGAATATCTCTTGGGAAACAAATCTTCAACACAACCCTCTCGGCTCGAACACGTCATAAATAATTGGTGTATTTATAGGGGTTGGAGTGCATGTTCCGTAAGGTTTTGTATCCTAAAAAGGCGTGTTCTTATTGGCTGTTTAATGCTAGGATTGTGCCATCATGTTGCAATTTTTTGGGATTAGCCTAGCGTTTTCGACTTTTGGGATGCAATCCTTAGGTACTTTTTCTACTGCCACGTGTTGGACTATGATTCAATCCCTTGTGCATAACCATGGGACATGTGTCAGCTTCAGATATGTCCACATGGCAGCATAGCATTGTACGCGTATATGATGAGTCTATTTTATATATATTTTTATTCCCCGTCCCACGGTCATATTTGTGTTTATTTGAGGTTTGCAAAGCTTTTTTTATTACTAATATACGTTTCCTAGTGTTTTTTGTAGAGTTGGTATTATTTTGTAGGAATTTGCAGATTTATGATAATTCCCGAGCTTATTGATCCGCTATGAAAATATTGGAGTTTGATCGTATTTTATGGCCGTATATTTGAAGCCCAAGTCCGAGCTAGATAAATTTAGTTCGGTGATTAAGGGCTCGGTTCGTTTGAAGTACTAATTTTTGTTGCAAGTCCAAGTTAGATTAAGAAGAAGGAAATTGCGGACCGAGCAAAAAGGCTCGAAATCAAAGTTGTCGGGCGAGCTGTCAGTTTGCTTCATCATAGTGGGCTTGTTGTTAAGGCCCACTTGGATTTGTTGTGTCGGTGAAGACCATTATAAATAGGCGGTAGTAGTACATAGGTTGGAGAGTTTTTTTAGCTTTATTAAATTATCATGCTTTTAGATTTGTTTTAGGTAGCAGCTTTTAGATTATTTTATTAAGTATACTTTGGTCTTTCTTGGATTAGCTTCCATTAATTAGTTTGGTAAACTTTTGTTATTAGCTTTTACGCACTATTATAACTTCCATTAGTTAGTCGGTTTTGATTACTGAATATTGTTATTTTCATGATTAAGTTAGACTTTTATTTTGCTGGGTATTATGACCTTGTAGTTACGTAATTTTTATGCTTTCCCATCACTTATTGTTTTTGATATTTTTATTATTTTATTGTTTCTTCTTTTAATTATGCTTTATTTAATTGCTTTGATTAGTTTAATTTTAAGTATGTGTGGGTAATTTATTTCTAGGGTTTGTGGGGGATCCATAAATAATATGAAGGGGTAATTTATTATTGTTGACTGTCAATGCTTGATTGATTTCCTATTGATTGATTTAATGCTATGCAATTAGATTTGGCCAGATTTAATTGTATGAGTTATGCAATATTAATTCGAGATTCGAGAGATGAGAATTGATGTTTAGGCTTAGTTTCAATGGGCAGGTTAATTTATAAATGGTTAAGTCAAAATTCGTGAGATGCGATTTAATACCGGTAGATTAATTATGTGATTATAATACGTAGCGAAAGCCCTTTATGATCTGATTAATTGATGCATTGATGATTGATTATTGTGTTTTACCCTGGAATATTATTTATTGGTGAACCTATAACCTAAGCCTTTTAATATTGTTTTCCTCCCTTATTTAATTTGCTTTAGTTTAGTTATTAGTTTAATTCTCACAAAAACAATTTGGTTACTTGATAATTTAGATTGTATTAATTAATTAGGAATAGAAAGACATGTTTCTCTGTGGATTCGACCCTACTTCCCTATCTATATTAGTTAGTGGTTTTAGGAATTACTTTTGATTAGGTGATACGACTTTAGCCTGTCATTATAGGAGGGTAAATTACCCTGAAAGTTGTTTGGATCCTTTATCCGAAATCCAAAAATTAAAATTTGAATAGGTATCTGAAATCTGAAATTTTCAGATTTGATTTCCAAAAATATCGGATTGGATGCGAATCGAATCTTCGGATATTCGGATAGTTTTGCTCAACCCTATTTATTTGGAAAGATATTAGAGAATAAAAGAAAAAGATTTTTTTACTTTTAATTACTACTTAGAAGAGCCAAAATTGTCTTTTACCACCCAAACAAATACGAAGTAAATGTTTTGTTTTACCACTATAAATTTGTTAGTAGGCTTTGGGGTTTACACTTTAACGTTTCCCTTTTATTTCACCTTCATTTCCACGATTTCCCCCTCTTTTACTTCAATTCACACACAAATCAATCTTATTAACTCTCTCTTCTTTAGTTCTTAAGACACATAAATTGAAGCTTTCAACAATGGAGGTTTGTGCCAATTTTGGTTGTTAGGATTGTCATTTTGTCTAGTTACCTTGTTTCTTTGTTGCTTGATATGTATTGGTCCTCATTGATGAATATGTAGATGTTGTTAGGAGAAAGTTTCTTATGAATGAGAGGTTATGTATGTCGTACTTGCATTTTATCATTTAGCAGCGCATGTCTAAATGTGGGATGATTTGTTATTGTACGAAATCTAGATTGATAAGACATTATTTGATCTAAGAGGAACATAATAATATATTCCTCAATGATCTTCCAAAAATGTATGAGTTTGATAGAATATTAAACCTAGCAATTTAGTTCTTTTCCTTAATCATTTAGGGACCGCTTGTTATTGTTTTGTTGTTAATGTAGTAAAGTACTTGCATCTACAAACCTTGACGATTTGAATTTTCGGCTCACTGAGAGGACCAAGGTTCAAAATGAAAATGTTTCTTGTTTTGTTTGTCTGACTGATTTAGTTTCTAATCCTTGATGATGTAACATCCCGCATTTTTACAATATTATATATATATATATATATATATATTATATTTTATTCTATAAATTGAAAAGATACATTTTATATTTAATGAAACTAATAATTTAATTATCAAATAGGCGGGCATATATTAATATAAGCAATTAATTGAGGCAATCAAATATATTAAATTTGATTGAATTGGTTTTCAACATTAGACTAGTTGGTTGGGAAGTAGAAGAGTTTTAAAAGCCCAACCAATTAGCCCAAAGGGAAGTTGCAAGGGAGTAAGATTTTAGTAATGACAAGTTTGTAAATGAAAGATTTGTGATTTTAAAAGAGGGTATATATATCCCAAAAGTTTATTAGTCACATTTCACAAAAATCCCAAAATTAATATCCTTATTTTCTCTTTCCTCTTTACCACTCTCTCTCTCTATCTCTCTCTTTGCTCGGACCACCGCCGGCCACACCGGCAACCACCACCGATGACCAGCAGCAGTTAGCGCCACCGTCTCTATGTCCTCTCCTCTACTGGTTCCATAGTAAACAAAAAAAACTTCTTCATCTTTTAATTTTTAAAGCGCGTTT